AAAAAAAAAAAAAAAAAAAAAAAAAAAAAAAATCGCGCAACTAAATCCATCGGTCCCAGATGCGGTGCGCCCCCTATGGTCAACTAGGGAAACCGAAAGGTTACGTAGTCGTTAGATAGACCTAGAAACTTACAATTCACCAAATATAAACAATTTCTTGCACTCAAACACGACCTTTAAATATAGTACCCATTTAATCTTCACCTTTCCACCAATTATCTACTCTGTTAATCCACCATAAAGCCTCCATTACCTAAAGTCGGCTATAATATTGCTCGCAAGTAACGCCCTAAAACAACGCACCCTAGCGATAGAAACCAAAACAACTCTGCGCGGAAAATGTCACCGCTGATGCTACTCTCCGCCAGGTGGTTCTGTGAGGGGTCACGCTGAGTCAATATAACAAAAGGAATATTCTCTCCTAAATTTTTTCGGTATAGTCGAAACTTACTATAATTGTTTTATAATATCTATTGCTTTCATCCATATAGACAATAAACAAGTTCAACAACATTTAATATCTTCTCATCCCGTTTAGTAAAGTTAGTAAATCGCGCGAATGTTCTGCAACCCAGAAGGCAGATGGCGTTAGATGTTATGATTTATATTATGTTATATTGTGTTATTTATAATTTTATTTTATTTCGTTTTTATCTTTACTTTTATTTTTATCTTATTTCTCTTTTGTAATGAAACTTAATTCAAATTTAACATTATGTCACCTTGTGTTGTTTTCTACTACACTAATGCTGTTTAGAATATAGTTAAACTCCAACATATATTGTAAGTAACTATATCTAAGTAATTATTTATTTTTTTTAATATATAGAATAAGTATAAGTATAAGATATATGTATGCATAGAATTAGGCATAGTATTAAGTTAGATATTAGGAGCACTGTGCCCAGGCAGCAGTCAGACAATAGTATCAAATCGCTTAGGAAGACTGCTGCCTGGACCTGTAATTAACTTAGCGAGTAAACCCATGTAAAAAAAAAAAAAAAATTGTGGAACATGACACTCCCACCCGGGAGGGTGTATTTTCGGGGAAAAAAAAAAAAAAAAAAACCTCCTACAGAACCTCTAAACATCAACATAATACTCATTTAATTTCACCATTTTCACTATTTATTTAAGACTGTCTTAACCGCCCACGAAGCTTTTGCTACTTGAGTTAGCATATCGCGCGAATGCATTGCAACTCAGAGGACAGATGGCATTAGTAGTCTGTTTCATTGGTCTTAATCTTAATTTATAATTTTGTAAACGTGATAGACAATAAGCTATGTTATTCATAAACATTATTATCCGTATGTTACGAGTATTATTCACGAATGCATGTTTTTTAATTCAATACAATGTCTCACTATACTTCACTTATGTCCTTTTGGTTATAGTTAATTCTGTACACTCTAATTTATATTAAGTATTTTGGAGAGAATAAGTATAGAATACATGTATGTGTGCATAGAATTAGATATATAGTATTCAGTTATTATTAGTTGAATCTTAGGAAGACTGAAGGCTTAGGAAGACAATATTTCCGAAATTTGGAAGACAAACAATTGTAATAACAATGAAAGAACGCAAGACTTTTACGGAACACGGACACCTAATGCTCTAGACCAACAGGAGATACATTTGTAGCGAGGCATTGTAACTAAACATCGCGATTAAATCAAACGATATCTCGCTTCAGCGCCATGTGTTGTGGCGCAGCAGAAACGGCGCCCAGAATTGATATCGACTAAAAATTTATCGACTAGAAAGTGGATATAGACTAAAAAAAAAAAAAATTTCGATTTCTACAAATAATAGTGGTGCGAATTCAGCGCGGCTGTCATCGCAGTGACCACAACACACGAGCAATGAGACGCACGGCTGCGCGCGCAATGAGAGCTCCCTCCACAGCTCCCGCTCACAGTTTGGTGGATAAATAAATAAAACATTTAATTTACGAGTATTGATATAAAATGTATTTAGTTCAACATATACGTAGACCGAAGATGAGGATCAATGATCTCACTAAAAGTTATTCTAAGATTTTACAGAAGTAAAAAAATGATAGATGTAATAATACAATGTATCGTTTCGTTGAATTTCCGGCAAACTCGATTGGTCCACCTATTATTGCTTCTAACTAGACGCCGCAATGGCAATGCCCGCCTCGCGTACACGAGAAGGAAGGACAAAAGGCAAGAAGGGAAGAGGGAGCCGGCTCGGGCGCTCGGGGCCACGGAACGGGACAGGCAGGGTAAAGGCGCCAGCGGCGGTGGACCAGCGATATTGCCTCGACGGCCGCGGACTTCTCTCTAAATTTTCTTACAAATAATGTCTATTTACATTAGTAACCGTTAAATAATTAATCAATATGTAGCGAAACTATGTACAGGAAAAATGACACAATGTTCGCGTATATTGCACGAGGCGGTCCCCGGTCAACGCGCGGCGGGTTCCCCGGGCGCAGGGTGGGCGGCGGGTGCAGTTGGCGCTGTAGGCGCTGTGAGGGCTGTGGGCGCGGTGGGCGCGGTGGGCGCGGAGGGCGCCGGCGCCGGCGGTGGGGATCCGGCCGACAGTCGCGCCAACGTCTTGTAGAGTGGAGAGTTGACGAAGCGCGGGTAGGAGTCGCGATGCATGAGGGTGTAGATCTGCAGCTGCGCCTCGTCAAAGGTGTGCGGCGTCGGCTCCACCATGTTGCGGTTGACCGTCTCCCGCACTCGCGAGTCCAGCGACACCTGCCAACGATCAACACCGGAACAAACCTCGCCTTTGCATTACAATTTTTTTTATTACCTATACATTTTTATTATGAGAAAATAATAGATTTGCTTGTGAGTGGACGTATGACTGTGGTGCTCACCTCCTTCGGGGACAGAATGGAGATGTAATCCTCGTAGATGAAGCGCGCCTTCTCCTCAACAGCGTCGGGGTCGGTCTCGCGCTTCAGCTCCTCGCACGCCAGCCAGAACATTATGTTCTCCTCGGAATACTCGCCGCGCAGGAAGTCGCGGAACACCCGGCGCCCCGCTGCGAACGAGCAAGCCGTCATGAGCTCGCTCTCTCACACACAAACCTCTCGCTGTGATACTCGAACCCTCGATAACCTTGCTTTATCGATCTTAATGCTATAAAGTGAAGAACCTCGCGCCCTCACCTGCGCTTCGCATGAGGCGGTCGAACGACTGGCCCCAGCTCTGAATCTCCTCCAACGTAGGCCTGCGAGAGCAACGGTCACGTTAGCCGTTTGGTGAAACGACGTCAGAAAGGTAAACATAATATGGAAAGTAATGAGCACACATAAAAGGATAGCGAAGTGACTCACGGCGCATCTCCGTCGACCAGCAGCGGCTCGTGCGGGCCGGGGCGGCGCGCTTTACCACCCGCGCTGCGCTCCCCGGCGCGCTCCGCCGCGCTGCAACAACAGAGCCTTGCCTGAGTGCCGCGCCCCAGTGCGCGACAGTGTCCAACACTGCCGTGCACTCAGTAACCAGTATTCGGAAAATCTTTACTAATCTTTTATATTATAAAGTTACTCTCTCTATCTGTCTATATGTCTGTTCTTTTAAACTACTCAACCGATTTAAATGAAATTTGGTACACAGACAGTCTAGAGCCTGAGAAATAGCCATAGGCTATTTTTAACGCGACAAAGGGGTGAAAGTGGTGGTGGAGATTTGTATGGAAGTATCGTAATTTTTACATATCTTCCTTCACATAACCCATCCAGACTTTCTATGACCAAAAATAAAATTCTTATAATAAAAAAAAAATTATAAAAAAAAAACTCGGAAAGGCTTAGTTGCCAACTGTATAGATTGCAGATTGGTGCTTAAACTCAATTTATCATTCACCGCCCCCCCGCCCCCGCCCCGCGCGCGCGCGCACGTCTCTCAGTACTGCGCAGGATGTGAGATCTTCGTTTGTTTCATCCGAGAATTGTAATGGTCAGCTCAGCTCGGTGTGCATTTCCCCCCGCGCGCCTCTCATGCCCTCCTCAGCCCGAACTTACCACTTGGACCTGGAACCGAACTGCATGTTATATTACATGACAACTAGAAAACTTCTCCCTAAATAAGGAATAACAAAATTTCGCAGTATGTAAGTATGTTTGTTATAAATTATCACAATAGGCTGGTTTTAGAGTGACGCAGACTGGTGTATCTGACTCAACGTCGCGACGTGTCAAACGTCGATCACCAGTCAGCGGGCTAGCTGACAGCTAGGCGTTATTTGATATATTTAACAATGGGCACTCGGGTGATGCACGCACCAGGAGCAGGAGCAGCAGCAACACCAGCAGAGGCAGCAGCGCGCGCCAGGCGGCCGGCAGCCTCGCGCCAGCGCACCCAGGCTGCACATCTGTAACGTGATCGATCATATGTTAACTGTGACAGGTCTCACACTTTACTGGATGGTCAGAGACCGACGTATCGACTGTGATGTGTCCATCGTTCGTATGGTACACCAGCCCACGTAATTACTGTGCTTCCGATAGATACAGCCAAGTGTACCGTGTTCAGCTGTGGCATGTAGGTGCTGCAGGATGCACGACCTCCATCTGCCTGATCAATGTGGTGACAACAACACATTTGAGAAGTTCCTCGATTCTATTGTGTACCTATGTATATGTATTACTTTTATATTTTTATTTGTTTAAGAGGTTTTATTAATGTTTTCATTTTATTTAAAAGCTGGCGATTGCATAAACGGATTTATCACAAGACTAAGTAAAAAGATCAATAATTGTACAATATGGATAAAATTATAACGAATTATTTTATATTTTTTTTTGACTAAGTTTATTTATTATTTGAAGTCTGTGTTTTTGTAAAAAATTGATAGTTTTTCCCCTATTGAAAAAAAAAAAAAGTTCAATAACGACTTAACTTGCCTGAGTTTGACACAATACGGAGAAATAGAACAACAACATTGTTAGAGCCGGTAAGAGAAGTGCTGCTATCGTGCTTGCTTCTGTCACAAAATATATGAAACCTACAGAGCCATAGGAAAATATATAAAAACAAGTGACACTACAGCTACATTAAGCGATTGTGATTTTTTTTGTCATTGAAAAAGGGATGGGATAGGGGGAGGGGGGGGGCGCTACTGAATTATAATAATTTATTCCGCCTTATGGTCACCGTGTCAGATGACTTTGTCAGTCTTTGCAATAGTATGTCGACCGTTGATTGGTTTTACAAGAGACGCCTGTGAAGTCGTAATGATAAATGATATCAATAAGTAACAATTTGCAATTGTGTAATTTGATGACGATGTTATTTGCCGTCATTCATTGAAGAATTCATAGTTTCCCGTTTGTGATTTGCCCAGGCAAAATGTAGAGTCGGTGAATTGCATTCGAAACGTTTTAGTCTGCGTTAACAGATTGACATTAACCATTAAGTACATGTAAATGTTTTGAACGCTGATTGTTAGAGATGGAGGTCCCGCTACAGACAGATCACAGTGTTGTACACTATATGACACGCCTGCGAACTCTTGGTCTTAACTATATTGATCGCCCAGGTGTTAAATTAGTTTGGCGTCCTTGAACATAATGCGTCCATTGCTTTGGGCCCCAGGATCGAGAGCCCGCACGCCCATTTAATGCCCTGCGCCCGCACCCCTACAGTCATGTCATGTGGTATAGGCTCGCTCACGCTTGTAGGCGTATCGTCCCTATCCACTCTTTCGCTCCAGATATTACTTGTGTGTTTTAGTGTAAACACATTCGACAGCAGCCGAGGCCCGGCCCCTTGCGGCCGACGATGATCGACACCGTTTAAAAAAAAAATTATGAATTACCATACTGTATGTTATGAACGAAATGCAGATTACCTCTTCCATAAACAGGACGCTTGCCACTTTTAACATGTCTCCTACATGTCGAACGGGGACAAAGTCACAGGAGCGGAGCGGGCGCGCGGGCGCGGCGGGGCGGCGGCACGGCGCCCGCTGCCTCCCGCGCCGCCGCGCTGCTCCACACGCACCCAACTATGTTTTAACTTGTACGATAATCAAATCGTAGCTCAGATCGTTCCGCACACATTTGAAAGAGTTAAATTATTAAAAAACCTTTCGAATATACGGCTTCCGATACGACACAAATTTAACACAAGGAGTCGATTCCGGCCGGAGCGAACAGCAGCGGCCGTCGCCTCGGCTTGCGCGCATCGCGCAGGCGCGGACACGGGGCGCAGCGCGCAGGCGCGGCCGGAGAGCGCCCCGCTCCAAGCGTGCCGCCGCACCGCCGCACCGCCGCCGCGCACACCGAGAGAGGCGCGGAAGCGACGCAATCGCGGACGATGAGAAAATAAACAGCGTTTAGAGGGTAGTGGGTGAGGGCCGCACGCGCGTATTTATAGCGCGTTCGAGTCGCGTCGGCGCTCGCAGCGCTGCAGCGGGCGTCGGGGGGCAGGCAGAGGGCGCGGGCGCGGGCGCGGGAAGCGTGCGCGACCGAGTTGTGCCGCGCAATGCGCGTCGCGCAATCAATAGGTAGCGGGTCGATAGGCCGCGGCGGCGTCACGCGCGGTTCATCGGCCGCGCGCGCCTCGCGCCCTGCGAAATACCACAACCTCACAAAAGATAGGTGAAACAGAGTATTTTGCGACATATCTGATAAGTGGGATGCCGGAGCCCCAATTCCCCCTTTTTGCCTTTTTTTGCCCCTTCCCAACCAAAAGGGGAAGTGTATTTGGCGAAGGCGAATTTGAAAATTATAGGAGATGTATAAGAAAGATTTTGTGTACATCTCCTTTTATGTCCATTAGGGATACGCAACGGATCTGCAACTCTTTAACTTGTTGCAGAAGTCAATTAGCTACAGAAAATGTGTTACCATCATAAAAATGAAGTAAGGTTCTCGTACCACTAACCCTCAGTAGGATCGGCGCGACGACGTGTCAACTTTACGCGCTTCGCTAATTTTAATAATAATTATTATGTAATGAAAATTTCATAAGAATTTGGGAAATTTAATATTTTCCTTCCAATACATATAATTCCCATTCACTAACATTAACTTATTACTTTTTGATAGTGGTAGTTTTTTTTGCAACAGGATATCTAATCGGGCGGGTATAAGTCAAACTAAATTATGACAGCTCACTAGCGCCCTCCTCCTTTAAGGCTTAAAAAAGAGTCACAAGTTCTTTTTCGTAATGTATTATAGCTGCGATGTCATAAATTTTCATTTATGCCATTTTCTATGACCATGTTTTGAATATATACGTTCAGAACCGTGCCAGAATCCGCCTGTCTCACCTGCTCAGATAGCCCGCTTTGACTATACTCCTTTTACTTTGAGGTCAACCAACAGGTCAGCCAGTGAGGCGCTCGGTGGCGACGCGTTAATGGCGCGGTGGACCATTCCTCTGACCTATTCACGACGACTTCCACTGATTTACTGGTATTCATATTTATTTACTTTAAATTTTTTAAAAGGTGCTGTAAACTATGTAATAATGAAAACAGATTCAATGAATAACGGGAGATAAGTGGAGGTCGCGGGAGGTCGCGGCAGGCAATGCGCCGCCGCCTGCCGGGTGCAAGGGGTGTACTATTTGTTAAAATAGCGTACCCCGCTATACCATGGGCGGTGTACATGTTTTGACATATATGTATTATAGTAAGATAGTATATCCTTCTGTATGTATAAGTGTAACTTTGAACGGACTGAATTCTTCTCTCTGTGGCAAGGATTTTTCTGGTGGAATCAAATGAGTGACTGACTTTTCTATCTATGTATAATATATTTATGAGAGAGGCTATATTTAAGCTTGTGAGAAACCTCGCGACAGACCGACGTCGCGGATCGATGGGCGAGCATCGCTGGGCGGCACGGGGGCAAGGGGTGGCGCAGGAGGCGCGGGGTGGCGACGTCCCCTCGCCATCGATCGCCGCCGCCTCGCGCCCACTCGCGCCCAGTAGGCGGCCGCCGGCGGGCCGAGCAGGTGCGGCTGCAGGTTGCAGCGGGCGGCGCGGGGTGGGAAGAGGCGCGGGCCCGCTCTCGAACGTATCTCGTTGGATCGCACCCGACACCCAGCGGCACCCGGCGCCCGGCGCCCTCGGCACCACCAGAGGGGACCCACCGCATGCGACACAGCAATCGATATTCACGCTTACAATTTTTAAGTACGCCTCAGATAACTGTAGGTGCCAGCTACGATCTCAGTGAAAGCCTTCATTTCCGGAGGATCTAGCTGAGCCCAGTCGACTAGAATCGACAAATATGGTGTCGGCGAACTGCATGATCAGCTTTGGTGGCGTTTCCGAACTGACGTCATTAATGAAATTAAGTAGTTTTTATGTCCATATGAAATCCAACGAGGTACTTTCGTGAAATTTACAATTTTTTATATTTATACCATCGGACTCTCCTTTTATTCTGGATTAAAATTTGCAGAGTGAAATAAAGAAGTATAAATTAAAAAGGTAAGATGGAAGGAGGTGGCGGAGTGGCCAGCGTGGCATCGCTCACCATGGACTGCGAGGACATGTTCAAAGAGATCACCAAGAAGCTGTACGGCGAGGACGCCGCTATGGGTGTCGGCGTCAACGTGAGCGTCGGGCCGGGAGGGGCGGGCGGGGCCGTCGCGGGCGGCGTCGAGTACCCTCCTGCCGAGCGCGAGCTGGTCGACGACCTGCGTCCCGAGGAGCACATCACCGCCTGGGGCTTGGCGGCTCTCATGCAGAACGGATTCCCGCCACCCGGCATCTTGCAGGTGTTCAATATCGTCATCTACTTATTACTCTCGTCGTCGTACCGATCGTCTTTCTGTTTAAACTATATATCTATATTCTTGTTAATAAAATTGACACACTGCGTCTCCATGAAATATCGAAAAAAAGCATGTTTAATACGATGCCGACAAAGAAAAAAAAATGTCTTTTTGTATGGAAGAAAAAAATATTGGCTAGACAGATTTTGACGGGACTAGCGGGAAGGTAGCTGACAGCTAGTTTAGCTTCTTTTGTAATCCTGCGCTGACGATGTCGCGGGCGACCCTAGTGGTCACTTATATATATAAGAAAGACTATATATATATTATATAGTATTTCGTACAGGCAAATTTTACCCCGCGCACGGACCCGTCGGCCGAGGACCGGTGGACGGCGGCGGAGGAGCCGCTGGCGTGGGCGCACTCGCGCGTTGCCGCCTACAACCCGGCGCAGCGACTGTTCAAGTGCACCGATTGCGAGTGCGTCGGCTTCCTGGCGCGCGTGGCAGAACACTGGCTGGGCACGCATTCACAGGCGCGCGCCTTCCAGTGCCCGCTGGCGGGCTGCGGCTTCGCCAGCGGGTGGGCGCGCGCCGTGCGGCAGCACCTCGCACGCGACCACCACTCCGACCCGGCGGCCGCAGACCACCTGCTACGCGACAACCCAGCGCTCGACGACCTCACCCGCTACCTGCAGCGCCTCAAGACCAAGGTACGTCGCCGACGCGATTCACGCTCGCCTCTACAACAAATCATTTGCAATGTTAGTTTTAATTCTAGTTACTTAGGAGTCTATAGTTTAATCTAATTTATGTTTCATGTCCGGCTCAAAGGACAAACATGTACGTCCAGTTCAGTCTCAGATTAGAACTGAGTCCGAACATACAGAGTAAATGCACAGGAGGTGCACCGGCAATAATCCACCTTACTGCTGGTTAACAAAGAATCATTCTATTTCTACCAATATCTTTTCATATATTTGCGCTTAACTACCTTTCGCTTAGCTTTCCTTAGGCTCATTTCCACGGGTAACATATGTGTGTGTGTGTTGTGGTGAACGATTTTAATGAGGCTACCGAGTGTGCATGACGTGCGCTCCAGCCTTCTATATTTCCTGCTTGCGGTGGGTTTTGCACAGAACACGTGTGGTCTACATGTTCCTGTCCTTGTTGTGCAATCATGTGATATCACGCACAGGCTCTTCTTTGGCCATGGTCGTTGATACGAACACTCGATAACAGGTGGAGACTACACGCACCGAGAGACGCACGGGAGCAGGGGGCGCGGGGGTCGCGGAGGGCGCCGGCGGGCCGGGCCCGGCGGCGGACACCGCCAGCGGCGAGCCCACCGCGCTCGGCGACGCCGGCAAACGCTATGTGTGCGCCGCGTGCCCGTACGCCACCGACCGCCGCGACCTCTTTACTCGTCACGAAAACATCCATCGCGACGAGAAACCGTTCCACTGCTATCTCTGCCAAAAACAATTTAACCGCGCGGATCACGTCAAGAAACATTTTTTGCGGATGCACCGAGATCAACCGTACGATCTGAATCGTATCAGACGCTCGAGCGGCATCAAGCCGGAGGCGGGCACGAGCGCGGGCGGCGCGCACTACTGCAGCAAGGGCGCAGGCGACGCAGCACCGGCACCGGAGTGCCGTCCGCCGCCGGTGAAGCTGGAGCGCGCGCCGCTGGCCAAGGCTGAGCCCGCGGCCTCGCCCACACACAAGCCGACCGTTTCCTCCCCGGTACGTCGCAAGGTGAGGTGTAATGTCGCAAATGTGATCCTTTATCGTCGACACTCGTTATACCTGCTCAGGATAGTAAGACACGACAGACGTGTCCTGAAAAGGAAGAATGCCTGCCGGGGACAAGGATAAGGATAACTGTCACCTTGTCCCCGGCACAGGCGGGATGGCGGTGCCAGAGGAGTTTTGGTCGGTAGTAGCTCCCCTCCGGTCTTATACGGGCCGGGGGGTGGCTGAGTCCGACACACCTGCACGCTCCCCCCGAGCGGGTAGACGGCTCATAAATGGGTCTCTCCTCTTTAAAAAAAAAGAAAAATAAAAGGGGCGAGGGGTTGCGGAGACTCGGACGTGCACGGAATAGGGAACAGAGTGTGACGCGAGTGCGGGTGCGGGTTACAGGGCGAGCGGCGCTACGCGTGCTGCTACTGCGCGTGGTCGGGCGTCGACAATTGGTGTCTCAAGCGGCACCTCAACACGCATCTGAAGCCGTTCGCGTGCGCGCTCTGCGAATACAAAGCGGCGCGCGCCGAGCGGCTCGCCACGCACGTCCACAAAGTGCACAACAAGAAGGCCTGCGCCAAGTGCCCCTACCTCGCCGACGAGCCGCAACAGCTGGCGCTCCACCTGCGCGATGCACAGTTAGTATCGCCCACCTCACATCGACCTCCCGGTATCGGCTTGCCTAAGTGAACCACAGTGATAAGTCCCCACACTGCCGGGGGCTCTGGGCTCGTGCCCGCTCGGAAAGTTTAATGACTAAGGCTAATTATTTTACTTAAAACAATAAAATATCACAACAAAACATTCTTACAAACAAACTTACAAAACATTCACGAAAAGGTAACATTGTCCCATACAAACATACGTACATTACCTATTCCCTGTTGTTATCATTTGTATCAAATCCGCAGCCTAAAAAATCAGTTTCAACAAGCTTCTAACTGTAAAAATAACGATATTTCATTAAATAACTATCTGTGTACCATATTTAATTTAATTCAGCAGTTTTTGTGTGAAAGCGAGCCGCTGCTGCCACGATGTTGCGCTTAACTTAATGAATTTATTAACATTAATAATATCAATTGTTCTAGCCATATAGAAAGCCGCAACTTAAAAGTTCCAACGGGCGTTGGACGATCGGCGGGCGCGTTCTCGTCGAGTCAGGCGGCCACCACGACGGGTACGGCGGGCGCGGCGGGCGCGGCGGGCGTGGCGGGCGCGGGGGGTGCAACCGGGGTGGCGGGAGGAGCCGCCCCGGCACCACCGCTCCCCGCTCTCCCCGCAGCCGGCGCCATACGACGTCGCGAGCAGCGCGCCGCCGGCGCCGCAAGACTCTTCGGATACCTGGAAGCTTCGGATGGCTCCGGCGACGAGTACGAGCCGCCGCCGCTCCCGCCCGAGTACGCGCCCCAGCCACCGCACGCCGCGCCCGCCGCAACCCCCGCCAGCCACGCGCCGCACGCCGGGCACGCCGGGCACGCCGGGCACGCCGGGCACGCAGCGCACGCCGGACACGCCGGGCACGCTGCGCCGCACTACGCGCGCGACAAGGAGAACGCCGCGCCGTTGCACCACGCGCTGCACCACGACCACTGCCTGCGATATTAGTGCCCTCCCTTTAATGTTTTATTTCCTACTCTATTACTTACCACCATTTTAAAAGATATCTTTCTCACGGGTCATTTAAATATTTACGTTAATTCAAAAATGTTGTTGACAATACATATTATTTATATTATTTAAGAAACTCCAAACGTCTTTTTATTGAGTTTGTTATTGTGTTGTTTTTTAAGAAATAACAATTGTATAAAGTGTAAATACGGAGCCGAGCTATCTCGCGGCCAGGCGGCCAGGCGGCCAGGCGGCCAGGCGGCCAGGCGGCCAGGCGGCCAGGCGGCCAGGCGGCCAGGCGGCCAGGCGGCCAGGCGGCCAGGCGGCCAGGCGGCCAGGCGGCCAGGCGGCCAGGCAGGCAAGCGGCTAGTACACGCAGCGGGAAAAGATCGGCGCATTTTTTTTTCTAAATGTTGTTCAAAAAGTTCGTTACATTTTGTTAAATTCTAAACAATACATTATATGTAAGAGTTAAAATTAACAGCTATATTGATTTATGAATAAAATTTATATAATATTATGGTATTTGCAAATTCAATTTAAAAAAAAAAATTACTTTGTCCATTTTTTTTTCAACTCCTAATATTAAATCAGTCCTAAAGTAGAAATTTACCGATTTTACATTGTTAGTACTTTCAGTATTTATATAAATATTTATCACCCGCAATGTCCTGGGAATAAAGAAAAGGACTATACAATGGCTTTTTTAATAAATTATGTTGCTCACTTGATAATGACTTGATGTTTCAACATCTATGCATGTTATTTGACATGTATGTCTGTCTCGCTCGCACCTCAAAATCTATGAATAAAGGTTTTTTTTAACTTTTTTGAACACTTAATAAAATTCCTAATAACTATGAAAAATATTCAATTTTAGTTCTAAATATTTTTTATACAATTTTCTCAGGTTTTATCATAGTGTTGAAGCATTTTAGAAACTTGATGAGTTGCGCGTACTTTTAAAATTTAGTGTCATGGTACTCTTCATACATTTTTTTACACAGAAGCATGTCAAAGTTGGTCTAAAGTTAAAATGTTATAAAATTTCAACAAAACAGTCAAAGTTAATTATTTTTTGTGCTAAAATTACGAATATTTTGGTCCAATTTTTAACTTTAATTAATAGCTATGTTACTTAGGTAGCTAATACAAAAAAATTGAAAGAATATCTTCATATTTGTAGCCACACAGTGTCTGATCATATGTTGGATGGTACCAAATTATAAGAAAAGTTACAAAAGTTAATGTAACTTTTAACAAAAAGAGATGGATTTTTTAGTATTCTTCCCGGTGTAGTTATCGAGCTGGCTATACACCATTTCCGTTTTGTCTTTGAATTTTGGGACAACCTGTATATAGATATAAAAAAACTGTTTTTATATATCCACGCGACAGCAACTTAGTTAGCTATAAAAATCTGCTTCATACATTATCATCACTTTTATTTTAACGTGAAGTTAAATCGTTCACAAAATTGTTTGCGGAACGCTGCCGTTATAAAAAAATAATACTCTATTATTTTTTTCTTTAGTACATCAATGACGGCGACATTTTGTACTCGGCAATATTTGTATATAGGTATATAAATAAATATATTATTTAGAATTTTTTAGTGTTGAACTGTGGTACTCGTGTCGATGAAACGAAAGTTGCTTTGCCGCGGGTATCTGTACTAAACATACCGTCATCTCTGTCATCCTGTCATCTTGTCATCCTGTCGTCACCTCGGACAGCACAGACAGACAGACAGACAGACAGACATAACAACATCATCTAGAGGTCACCTCATAATGAATACATTATTTTATCATAAGGTCGAAATAAAACAACAGTCCAGAGCTTAATAGTGATTTATTGTACGCTCCAGAGATTCTCAGGTCACAGTACAAAAATAAGCAATCCTTGTATAATTACAGTAAAAACATCTCGCTAACACATACTCAGCACGAATCGCGCCATTTGTAAAAGCTAAAACAGTCTCGATTATTGACTTAAAAGTATAAAATGATAAAAACTCTCGGCCACAGCGCCCTGTGCGTTTCCTTGACTCAAAGTCGGGCTAGGCGTCGCCGGGCGCGTCGTGCGCGGTGGGTACGGTGGGTGCGGGGGGCGGCGGGCGCGCGTGCGGGTGCGGCGTGGGGCGACGCAGCAGCGCGGGCTTGGCGGCCAGTGCGGGCTTCAGCGAGCCGCCGGTGAGCGTGAGCTCGGCGAACTTGGCGGCGACGCGCAGCGTGTTGCGCGCCGGCACCGGGCTGCCCGCGGCGGGGGACGCACCCCCCGCGCCCGTCGCGCCCGTCGCGCCCGCCGCCGCCGGGTGCGTGACCTCGCCCTCCTCTGCGTCGCTCCCGGGACAAGTTTGCCTGATGAACAAAACGATGTCAACGATGTGTTGAGTATCGGTTCTGTTTTCAAAAACTGCGGAACGTTTTAAACTGTTTGAGAAGAGTGCAAGGGGATTATGAATGAGAGACGTATGCTGTTACCTGTGCGGTGGTGCGGGGGGTGCGGGGGGTGCGGCGGGGGGTGCGGGGCGCTTCCTGAGCGTGTCGCGGTTGCAGAGGAAGGTGTCGGCGGCGGCGCGCGCGGGCAGGTCCAGCACGAGGTCCGGGGTGCTCTCCGCCAGCCGCCTGCACACACGCACACACGCACACAGACACGTCAGCTAGAACAGACAGCACTTTATCGCCGACTCACACAAATGTATTAAGGACGCACGTACTCAATAATACGTACAATACACGTATTAAAAAGCAGTCTTTGTGAGCTAGTGCGGACCCCCAAATGAAGGTGACGAAGGAAAGCGACTCTCGTCTCGGCGCGCTTCGGACTCGGGAATATCAATGGGTGCAAACGGACCAACCGAGTCCTGACAAAAATGAGCAAGAGGCCCCCTAGTACACTACTCGAGCCTTTTGTGACAGACTGTTTTCATGTATGGAGTAAAAGCACAGATCCCGCACCTGCGCTCGACGTCTTGCGCCGCGCCGCTCGCCACACCGCTGACCGCCGAGGCGGGCGCGCCGGTGCTCGCGGCATCCGGCTCGTCGCTGGCGTCCTCGTCTGCAACACCGCACATCTCAATAAATGTATCGTTATCAGTGCGGCGTGCGGCTGCGGAGTGCGGCTGTGGCGTGCAGCTCACCGTCGTCTTCCTCCTCCTCCTCCAGGTCATCCTCGTCGTCGTACAGCGAGAGGTCGTCGTTGAGGTCGTGCTCGTCATCGGTGCGCGCGGCCGCGTCCGCCTCATCTCCCCCCTCCCCCGCCGCGCCTTCCGCCTCGCCCTCGCCCACGCCCACGCCCGCGCCCTCGCCCGCGCCCTCGCCCGTTAACTCGTCATCTTCCTCTCTGCAAATGACACATCCAATGTCTCAATGACACACAATGCGACCTTCATTGAGCCAATAATGGATTGTCTATATTTTGTTTTGGCAGATGTAGTGTGTGTGTGTGTGTGTGTGTGTGTGTGAAGATGTCGCTGATCTCAAACTGTACCAATCGCTTCGAAGAATAAGTAATATAAATGTGTAAATCGGAAAAGAAGAATCGGGCAGCGAGGCCCGTCCAGTACCGAGCAGTGGAAAACTTCATGGCATCGGAAAATGTTTGTAAGGAATAATGATAAATATGAAATTTGAAGTGATTTATTTATTATCTATGTTAGGAGGGGTTCTGTAAGGGAGGGGTTGGAAGGAGGAGGCGGCTGACCCGGGGCGGCGGTAGAGCGTGTGCGGCGCCACGTCCTGCGGGAACAGCTCCTTGTGGTGCAGGATGATGCGCTTCACCAGCTCGTTGACCAGGTTCTGCGCCGTCACCTGCGCGCCGCCCTCGCCCCACGCGGCCAGCAGCGTGGGCCCCAGGCAGATGGCCAGGTTCCACGCGTCCATCATGTTGTGCTCGCTGTGCTCGGCCAGACTGCAAGAGACGGGGGCAGAGGTGAGATGGCGCGGGGTGGGCGCGGTGTGGGCGCGGTGTGGGCGCGGGGTGGGCGCGGCGGGCGGCACTCACTGGGCGAGGAAGG